CCGGGAATACAGAAGCTTCACCGGCTTTGCAACTTATCCGAACCTCGTTCTAAAATTGGATAAGACTCTAGACAGAAGAGAAGTCACACGAAGTGCACACTCCTCTATGATTTAGAAGACTCAGAAAGAAGAAGGGTTTTGTAGCAGTTCATATATATTTCACAGAATATCAAAGTGGTAAAAGCAACACTTAGCACATTAGGCCCAAACATGTAACAAAATCAGATAATAAATAAATCCAACTATAACAATTCATCTAAGCTCGAATTTTGAACCCTGAACCAAAGATTCTGGGTTCGGTTCCCCAGCAGAGTCGCCAGAGCTGTCACACCTCCTTTTTCACTACACCCGCGAGGGCATAAAAGAGTTTTTCCTGGAAATGAAGGAAGGAAGCAGAAAAATGAGGTATCAACAGTAACCAACAACAGCAGTAGTATTCAACACCAGAATGTGAACCAGCAGACTAATTCTGAAACCAAGAGATATGATAAAATAGTCCAGACCCTAATTTCAGTCTTAATGAATCAACAGACCCCAAACCAGACTCGACTTAAACCCTTTTTATTATCAGCTAACCAGAAATTGCTTCCATACTAGAGGAAAACTTCAGAAAATACCAAATGACTCAATGAAACAATGTATTTTTCTGAAATTCTGCAATCGTTTCTGATTTTTTTTTGATTTCTCTATCTATTTCTGTGTATCTCCCTTCCTATATCTCTCTCCGAATGTCCTTCTTCCAATCTCTCTCAGTGTATATTTCTCTATTTTCCAAGTACTAGCCTCTCTTCCTCTCCTGAAATTCAAATCCCTTAAATAGGCATTCAATTAGTGCATTTTCCACTACCAATTTAACTTTCATTTCTTTAATGCTCCACTCCATTGTTCACTCAATTATCCACTTAATTATTTAATCCATTAGTGCAAATACTACCCTACTATCCACTAGAAACTTCTTAAGTAGGTGAACACTTAAATAATTTCCACTATTATCTTAAAGTTTCTGTTTTTAAACTTGAAATTCATGGGCCAGACTGAACTCAATTCATATCATTTTAGGTTATTCAATCTTTATACAAATAAACTTTCCCAGCAGACTGCCTAATAGTTCTTAAAATGAAATAATTTCAATAAAATTAACAAGAATCAATTCAAGAACTACTGTGAGTTTAAACTACTGAGAAACAAAACAACACCAAACAAAATCAACAAACAATCTATTAACTAAAAACATAGAACAATAATGACCAAATAAATATTCTAATAACAGAAAGGAGTAGAAGAAGATAATAATAAAAAAAATAGAAAAAATTAAAATCAGGAAATCTACCTCCAAATATCTGAATACTGTCTCTAATTAGGCCTTTGATTTTCTTCGAATTTGTGGCTGGAATAGACCTTAATCGAGTGTTCTCGACTGAGAACACACAACTAAGGTCGATTTCGATTTCAAATTTTCAAGCATCTAACGATTTGGATTTTTGAGATTTGGGGTTCGTTTTTTTTCTTTCCAATCCAGATTCGAGGGGGCTTCAAGGGTATTCAAGGGAAACTGGTGATGTATTAGGTATGAGGGGGTTAAGGCGGTTGTGTGGTATTAATTTGGGAGGGATTGGAGTCGGCTAGGGTTCAGAGGTTTTGGGATTTGAAACTTAGATCTAAAATTCGAGAGGTTCATGCAAGATTCGAGGGGAACGAGTCATGGATTTGGAAAGAGGGGGTTGGGGTGGTTCTAGGGTGTGATTTTGGAGGGGAACGGAGCCGGCGCCGCCACCGGAAGGCGGTGAGGAATGGTGGCGGCTGGTCTCTAGGGTTTGGGGTGAGGGAGACGATAGA